TATTATCAACTGCCAAGACTTCCAGAAGAAGGCTCCCTTCCCTGTCCTCACCCTGACATCTGAAAGAGGCTGCGAAACTCAGAAAGAATACCTCTTACTCTCTGAGAGCACCAGGCTGCAGCGTCCCTGTCCATCCTACAGTGGAACTCTATTAATTTCCTAGGGCTATGTCACAAAGCACCACAAACTGAGCCAGGCATCGTGGCTCATGTCTGTAATCCCAGAACTTCGGAAGGCCGATGTGGATGATCACTTGAGGTCAGGAGTTTGAGACCTGCCGGGCCAACATGGAGAAACCCATCTCTACTAAAAATACAAAAAATTAGCCGGGCATGATGATGCACACCTGTAGTCCCAGCTACTTGAGAGGTTGAGGCAGGAGAATTGCTTGAACTCCTGAGGCAGAGGTTACAAGACTCCATAAAAACAAACAAACAAAAAACACCCAAAGCACCACAAACTGAGTGGCTTTAAACAACAGAAATTTAGTCTTTCACTGTTCTGGAGGCTAAAAGTCCAAGATTAAGGTATAGGCTGGTCATGCTGCCTCCAAAGCCTCTAGGGGAGGATTCTCCCAGCACCAAAGGTTTCTTGGTTTGCAGCAGGCTCCACCTTCATGTGTCTGTAGCTTCACATGGCATTCTCCTCTGTGTGTCCCTGTGCAAATTTCCCTCTTATAAGAACACCACTCATATTAGATTTGGGCCCACCCAATGACTTCATCTTTCCAAAGATTTGATTTCATTGCAAACACCCTCTTTCCAAATGACGTCCCATTTACAGGTTCTGGGGGTTAGGACTTCAAGACCTCTCTTTGGGAGGACAAAATTCAACCCACAACAGGCCCAGTCTTCCTTCTGCACAAACATCAGTACACACAGGACTTGTCCAGGCCTGCAGCAGGACAGGCCCCGAGTGAGCTGAAGACAAGAAGAAAAGCAAACCAAAGCCAAGCGAGGGGAGTAGAAACACTGGCAAAATGCAGAGCAACCCACGGCCTTGGAAATCAAGTCCACTTGGTGACTCCCAGCCTGCCAGCAGCTTCCATCACTGCTCCTGTCTCCTTTTCTGTGACTAAAAGAAAGTCTTTGGGACAAGGAACTCATCAATAAAGTCGAGTGGGCAGGGATGCACTTTCTGTCAAAGGGAGCAGAATGTACCACCCCAACCAGTGCCGTACGAATTATTTTGAGCTGAAAGCAATGGAAAAGAAACAGACACAAGAAACCCTCTCTGCCCTCCCTTTTTCTACCAGAAGGGGCAGGGTGGTTCTTAATCACCAGAGAAAATTCTGAATCCTTATCTAGAATGTACAGAGGAATCTACCGAACAAATCTTACATAATCAACCCTTGTCTACCAGTAGTTTCTCCTGTATACTTACATTCCCATAATTTGCAGCCTCTGGAAGCTCAAAGTCGTTTTCCTTAGTGTTGCTGCTTCTTTAAAAAAAACTTAGTGTCCTTTTGCAAAGGTGCTATATAAGCTCAAATTCAAACCACCCTTTGAGTTGCTCATCTCCATGTTCTAATGTGAATGCACGATGCACATGCTATAAACTTACGTTTGCTTTTCTCTTGTTAAGCTGTCTTTTGCCAGAGTGTTATTGACAGGGTCCTCATTTGGAGAACTATAGATGGGTAGAGGAAGATTTTTCCTCCTTTACACCGTAGTCACCAGGAAAACATATAGAATGATATCCTGGTTTTCTGTTCAGTATTACTCTCCAAGACCTTTAGTCTTGGCAAAGATTGCTGAGTTCTGTGAATCCTTCAGCCTAAGCAGTCCAGGAGGAAACAGTCCTATGAGATGTGCCTGCCTTTGCTGTCTTTGAATGGATGCTGTTCCTGTGGGGTTAGCCCAAAACTTTTGCATCATGTTAATATCAGAAGCCTGCCAGAACTCTTTGGAAAAGTAAAAGTATTGTTCTTGTGAATCAAAGTTACAAGGTGGAGAATTCCACTCTCAGAAGCATAAAAGACCTGAAGGCTGTACCACTCCTCTCGTGCCCTTTCTCTCAGGAGTACAGACAGGAGGTTTCAAAGATTTCTGCCTGAAGCTAATACTGTGCTGTTTGAAACATCACCCTTAACAATGGGATGAAAACCACTGACTCTGAAATAGCAATTTTCTCTCTGGAAATAAGGATATTCTTAATTTCAGTTGAGAAGACAAGAATGGATGATGCAATAGGAGAACGTGATTCCTACAGCCAAAGGAAGGAAGCAGATAAAAGGAGAGATTTGACCCAGCCCAAAGTTCTTTTCCATGGTTAGGGATTATTTTTTCCACATCCCGAAACCAACTTGGTCTTAGGAAAATTGTGACTTTCATTTAGTCACTTGCTGGGTGCTTTACATAGATATCTCACTTAATCTTCACAGACCCCTAAGAAGGTAATGCAGCATAGCAGCAGATAGCCAAGGCTCCAGAGTCTGATCGTTCCACTCAAGGCTGTACTCCCACATTATTCCTCCCTATGTGACTCTAGGCAAGTTCTTTGTGCTGTAAAATGGGAGACCCAAATTCCAATTTCATAGCATGGGTGTGAAGATTAAAAGAGATAACCTGTTGAAGTCCTCAATAAACAGTGGCTCCTATTATTAGGTACTGCTAGTATAGTATTCTTATTTTCTACAAAGGTTTCTGAGATTCAGAAAGGCTAACTAACATGCTCTGGTCAGACAATGAAATGTGTGGGACAGAATTCAACCTGAGATTGTCCGACTGCAAGCTCTGTCCCCCTCAGCGTTGACTATTATGCATGACTGCCTTCTTGACAATCTAGGCCAATGCTGTCTTTGGGGCTTCCTGACCTCCATTTCAGTTCAGGCTCCTGCCTTTCAGTTTCCTCCTGGGAGGCCAGTATCCTCATGGCTTCTCCTTAGCCCAGAGCTGAGGGCTCCCGTTTGGAACTCATCCTCCCCAGAGAGCACCTCCAACCAAACCTCTTCTCTCATCAAGATGCTTTCCTCGAGATCCCTTCTGTCAGCATTGTCTTTAGCTTTCTGAAGTGACATTGGTCACATAGGTCTGCTAAAATATCAGCAGCTGATGGTGGTTTAATTCCTTGCCCTTCAATAATTCAACAATAACACCAAGGAGATGATCACAAGTCACTATGGTCAGGCAGTGAGTAGCGCTGCTGATGCAGCCCAAGCTTATAAAACATAGCCCTGATTCTCAGAGAATTCACAGTCTAGAAAGGAAGGAAGATATGAAAATAATGCACTCTCATGCTCTAAGGAAAGTGGTTTTGAACTGGGCTGATGTCTATGAATGATGTGCTGTGGGAGCACCAAGGTGGAGACATGCTGGCTGGATCTGGACGATTGGGTCACATTGAATCAAGAGACATATGGCAAAGCATTCTGGATAAGAGGAAAAGATGATAGAATAAGCATGAACCTGAGTGACCTGGGGATATGGGCTGCCAGAGGGAGAATGACAGGGCATGGCTTTAGTCCCACAAAGAGGCCTAACGGGCAGGTCCTTGAATGCCTGCTGTGTAAGCCCTTTGCTTTTTCTCCTTTAGGCCAATGTTCTCAAACTTTAGCCTACCTCAGAATCAACTGCCGGCTTGATAAAGCACAGCTTTCTGGACCTCACCCCCACAGTTTTTGATTCAGTAATCTAGGGTGGGACCTGATAGTTTACATTTCTAACATTCCCAGGTGACTATAAGGCCACTCCTTCCAGGACTACTGTATGAGTCCATTCTCACTGCTATGAAGAAATACCCGAGACTGGGTACTTTATAAAGAAAATAGGTTTAACTGACTCTCAGTTCCTCATGGCTGGGGAGGCCTCAGGAAACTTACAATCATGGCGGAAGGCACTTCACAGGGCAGCAGGAGAGAGAATGAATATCGTGCAATGGGAGAAACCCCTTATAAAACCATCAGATCTCATGAGAACTCACTATCACAAGAACAGTATAGGGGAAACTGCCCTCATGATACAGTTATCTCCACCTGGTCCCACCCTAAACACGTGGGAATTATTACAATTCAAGAGTAAGATCTGCCTCACCCAGATGTTGAAGTTTGGGAAGGATAAATTGAGATTCACATTATAAAAAGGCTGTGAAACAATAACCGTAATAAAAATGCAAGTTATTATTTTTAAAGATTTTTAAAGATTTAAATAATCCCCCCAAAATAATATAACATACATATTCAAAGAAATTGTTACTAGGACCAGTAATTTTTTTTTCAGGAATACTCTAATAGGCAATTTTCTTTGTTTCACTGTGTGTTCATAAATAACTCTTTATATGTGTTAGAGCAACAGAAAAAAATGTGAAAGCCATTAACAGTGAGGAAAATAAATAGAAATAAGTCAAGTATAAGATTATTCAATCGAGTGTGTTTAGTTAATGTATAAACGATGATGAGTAACATTAAGTTACAAGGCAATTCAGGGAATGTTCACTCAATATCATCTGTGTAAAGTAATGGGAAAAAGCAAACATTCATCTGTTTTATTAATATATGTAATGTAAAAGTCTCCGGGCCTCCTCAAACTATGGGTTCCACTGATATCACACTGCCATGCATTTATAGATTGGGCTGGCAGACATGATAACAGGCCTTCTGTATAACTACAGGCAATCTGCGCAGACTTCACCAATTAGTCTAAGAAACCCTGGGGTATTTCACATCTGTTCATGATTATTTCAGGTTTTTGTTGATGTCCACCACCCACAAGCCTCAGAAAAATGTGCCTTCTTGGAGTACATGTCTTTAGCATCTAGAAAACCATTTTTTTGCAGGGTTGCAAAATTACATAACCTTTGAAAAGCCTATAGGTCCTACCTAAATGGAAATCCTGCAGTGTCAGATTCCAGAATGGGGAGGTTGGCCTCTTGCCTTGGTTCTTGCAGCTGGATCCTGGGGATGGGCTGGGGAATGACCAGTGAAAAGCCAACAGCCTTTTCCCTTGCTTCACGTCATTCACATTAAGGCAACTCTTAAAAATGGCCATTATCAGAAAACATACCTTCATGCCACCACAGAACAATCCTTACTGTTTTACAAATAATACATCGACTTGATCTCTTGATCTCAGATATCTTGAAAGCTTTATTGGACTTCTACTGGTGACTCTGGTGAATGAACTCTTCTAAGAAAACAGACAGGATGTTGAAAAACAGAAAAGAGGTGAGATATATTCTCCAGCCCCAATGAGACCAGCCACAGCTACACTTGGCTTGGGATCCATGATCTGCACACCCAGCCATTTCCCAGAGCAGTCCTGGCCTCCCCGTAGCTGGCTTTGTGCTCACAGCTAGTTCGGCCCTGCTGTGCTAATTTCCTGGTTGCTTTTTCTCTGGCAAGGGGACGTTTATGCAATTCTGCATTCAAGCCGTAAAGAATGACTCTCAATCTTTTTGCTTTTGATGGGAAATAACAGATCAGGTCGCCCTGCCTTCCAGAACAGCCCAATGGAGGAACATCACAGGTAACAGCCTTTGTGGCTGTGCTCCCAAGAGGAGCTGCTGCCCCCGCCCCGCTGCCCTGCTGCACAGGTTGCGATGCCCTCACTGTATGCTTAAGCGCAGGGAGTCAGGGGGTGTTGTGTATACATGGCTGTGGAGTGGTTCACATTCTCATAAATGGATAGTCTCCTCTCAATTAACTCATTGCAGGGAGCCACAAATTCAAATGCTGTAGAACCTCTCCCGTGAACAAGTGACAAGCCTTTCCACTTTTTGTTGGTTTTCACATACACACAAATGATAAATTTACCTGTAAGTTATGATCTGTGCAATGCTCAAACACTGACTATGTGTTACCAACTCTGCCTGGAGGGGAATATGAAATCCAGGCACACATTGCAGAGCCACATGAGTTGCTAGAGTTGGAACAGTTGCTTTGAGCTAATGGGAGGTTTTTCCTTCTACCATAGTACTAAGGAGACACAATGCCGCTGGTGTTAACTCCAGACCTAAATTCAAAATCTCGATGCTGTTGGTTGTAAACAATTTTACAATCCTGCATCTTGTAACTGCTTTTTTAAAAGGTAAAACATGCGAAAGAAATGACAGAACATTAAATCATTGTCATTTTCTTTGATTTCCGTTTCATCTGGTATTTAGAAGCAAACTAACTGGGATTATGGGTGACAGTGGATTTGGCATCAAAACCAACTACAAACAAAACAGGTTTGTGGGTAATATGGAATATTTTGTTAAAGTGTGAGGTTGGCACGTTTCCTTCTAATTCTTTAAAATCCACCAAAAGAAGGGTTTAATTCATTAATTTCTCTTATATCTTGAACATTTCGTTTTAATATAAAATTAAATGTGAAGTAATAAATAATTACTATGTTTTCTGAATCCTCCCATTTGTTTTAAAAAGCAAAAAAAAAAAAAAATGGGGGTGTCAATAAAAGTTATTTTTTAATGTAATTTCTTTGCTTATGGTTATACAAATGTTCACTAAAAGTAATCACAAAGTTAATGGAAAAGTTGGGAGGGCACTTATGGAATAATGATGAAAAAGTTTAAAAATTGTCAAAAATAAACATCAGTCTCTCAATTTCTGAAAAATATGAGTTGCTAAGGATTCTCCTTGTATTAGTCAAAGTTGTCCAGAGAAATATCAGAAACTGATATGACATACACATAGACAGAGAGAGATGTCAATTGTAGGGACTGTCTAAAGCCTGTCTGGCAGGCCCTTAGGCTGGAACTTAGGCAGATGCAGTATAGAGAAAAAAATTCCTTCTTCTTTCCTAAATCTCAGTGTTTGCTCTTAAGACCTTCAGTTGACTAGATGAAGTCTGCTCACATTGTGAAGGGAAATCTATTTAAAGACTGTAAATGTTAATCACATCTGTAAAATATCTTCGCAGCAATATCTAGAATGGTGCTTCACCAAACAACCAGACACCATAGCATACCCAAATTGACACATAAAATTAACCATCATGCTCCTAAAAGTAGAATTACAGGCATGGTGGCTCACACCTGTAATCCCAGAAATTTGAGAGGCTGAGGCGGGTGGATCACCTGAGGTTAGGAGTTCAAGACCAGCCTGGCCAATGTGGTGAAACCCTGTCTCCACTAAAAATACAAAAATTAGCCAGGCATGGTGGTGGGCACCTGTAATCCCAGCTACTTGGGAGGCTGAGGCAGGAGAATAGCTTGAACTGGAAAGTGGAGTTTGCAGTGGGCCAAGATTGCCATTGCACTCCAGCCTGGGCGACAAGAGTGAAAAACTCTGTCTCAAAAAAAAAAAAAAAAAAAAGAAAGAAAGTGTGCTAAGAGTAAAGTTGAGAATAGTATTGTAATTCCCTCAACTACTATTTTCCCACAAGAAACACTACTTGTTAATTAGTCCTCATAGAAATAGATTTCCATCTTCAAGAATGTGTGTGTGTGTGTGTGTATTTATAAGAGAGTTAACGAAATAAAGCTACGATTAATAATGACTTTAACTTATAATTTTGATTATAAAATTTGATTATAATTTTTAAAGGAAATATCTTATTCACAAGTACTCTTTAGCCCAGGGACTTGACATATGAATAAAATAAATTATTTTTTACAAATCAAATGGTAGTCTGATATTAGTGGATTATCTTGTACTGAATTAACCTCTGCACAGGTAATTACTATAAATTCTGTTCAAAACATAAATCTATTTCAAGGCACCAACAGCACCTAAAAGCAGACAAGCACTGGGGCTGGGGAGGAGGTGGCACATGAAGGAAGGAACTGTAGTGACTAAGATCCACATTTATACAACTTTTCTCTTAGGACCTTGCCTTATCTGTAGCACAGGATGGTTAGAACTCATAGAAAGCAACATTCTTATGGCTTGCAGTGTTAGAGAAGGTTGTTTGAGGCTATCAGGGAACCTGGAAATTAAGGGGGAAAAATCCTAAGAAAGAGGTCACTACAGGCATATGGGGAGGGGCAAGCTTCCAAAATTACAAATAAATGACCATTAAATCCTTGGCTGAACCCTGAACTGTGTATGCCCAAAGAAAACGACAGAGTCCAGCAGAAGGCAACAGCTGGAAGGTTAAAAAAAAATATCTGAGCACAGGTTCCAGTTGCTACCTGGCACAGAAGAAAGAATTAGGCGTTCGAGTCCTGCCAATAACCTTGTTTAATAGAAAGAGAAACCTGAGATATTTAAAGTTTACAATATGGTATAGCCAATATGACTTTGTTGTGGCTTTTGTTCTTGTCCCAAGAAAACCGATCAGAAATAATGTTGGCAAACGTGGCCTACATATAAGCCTATACACTGATGCATCACAATTTGGTGAATGATGATCAAGAGTACTTACCGGTGGATTCTCAGCCATGATCCATCTGTGCCAGGTGATAAAGCATTTTCACCAAAATGTTATCTGGTGAATAGCTCTTTTAACTTGTAGAATCATCATGAAGAGCAGCTCTTTTAACTTGTAGAATCATCAAAGTAGGGGAAAAGAGAATGAATGGAACACTAATCATCAAGATCTAGATTCAATTGGCCTTGATAAGTTGAAGAAGAGGTTAAAATTTAATAGGATGCAATTTAATGGACAAACTCTTAGGAAAGAGGACCAGAAATCATAAAGAAATATAAAAAAGCCAGTGATAGACTAGTTCAGTGGTTCTTGAACTTTTGATATCAGGATCCCTTCACTCTCTTAAAAAATATTATGGCTATACAAAACTATAATTTCTGTGAATTATATCTATTGATATTTAATAGATTCTAAACTAAAATTAAGAAGTTTTGAAATGTATTTTTAATTTGTTTAAATACAGCAATAAAAATTCCATTTTATATTAATTTAAGTAACATATTTTTATGAAAAAAATAGTGGCTGACAAGCCTGGCATTATTTTACATTTCTGCAAATCTCCTTAATGTCTGGCTCACTAGAAGACAGCTGGAGTCTCATGTCTGATTCTGCATTCAGTATGTTAAAATATCACATATCATGTGCCCTCTGGAAAACTCTACACTTGTGAAAGCATATGAGTGAAAACTACAAATAACATCCTGATATTATTACAAAAATAGTTTTTACCTTGTGGACCATCTGAAATGGTCTCAAGAACCCCCAGGAATTCCCTTGGAGAAAATTTACATGGAATATAAATAACCTTATGCTCTGGGTTACTTTTCAGACTTTCTTTAACATATTTATTTTCTGCTTCTTTTCCACTGACACTAGTCCTTCAATCTCCTTCTTTATAGCTTTCAGGCCATACCTATGCTTGTCTCTCCTTCTAGGCAAAGTGGGCAACCCAGATATATCACTTGACTTTCTGACTACTGGGAGAATTTCCCTTCATCATTGCATGCCAGGGATATCCCTCAGGCAAGGTATAAACCTGAAACCTCCCACTTCAGGCTGCTTCCAGCTCATTGTACAGAAATGTCTTTAAGTCAGGCTTGACTATTTTTTTCAGTCCCCATGAGTACCTAGTTGTAGGGTGAGGGAGTTGTACACAATGCAGCAAAACTAGCTGCACTAAGATTATGTGCCAAATGATCATGCAATATACTGGTGCTTTCAGTACCTGCTGAAATCTAATTTTATAATTTATGATGATTAGCTTCTCAAATGCATGGCTCAGTGGGTCATAGGACACCCTGTTTATGATGAAAGCTCAGTTTGCATGGTCACTTGATATCTCTAGAACTTAATAACAAGCCAAGGGCTGTTTCTAAAGAGGAGAATAAGTATTTTTGGAAGAAGGTACAACTCTGCTCCAAAACCCAAAAGGCCTGCACCATGATTATCTTAATGGGACTCTCCACAATATCCCTGGAGTATCCCCATCTACCACAGAGAATTTGAAAACCTAGGGTCTGCTGTGACATAAAGTCCAAGAAGTAAAGAGAGGTGCTTAAAATGCAGACTGGTTTAGCTGCTCACAAATGTGATAAATTGTTTCCTTCAAAAACCCCAGGGTTCCTTTCTTATGTGGTAAGAATTGTGTAAAATCTAGAAACTTGTCTTTCTTTAGATGTAATATTCTGACATGCCCTGAGCTATAGGAGTGCCAGAAATTTCTCAGAGATAACAGGCACATAAATTTTCACTGTGTTTGTATTCCACCTTTGACAGGCATGTATCTCACCAGGTGTTTGGGTTGTCTATTGTTCTATAACAAATCACTAAATTGTGGTGGCTTAAGAGAACAACAATCGTTGTATTACCTCTCACATTTTCTGCTCATCGAGTGGGAAGGTCTTGACTGGGCACTTCTGCCTCAGAGCCTCTGCTGTAGCTGTGGTCACATTGCACCTGGTGTGAGAAAGATGAGAAGCTGAGGCATCTGGAGGAAGGCCGGGAATTTCTCCCTTCATAGAATCTCAGGACTCTTTGTATGATCCTTCCACTTTCCTCCATCAAGACAATCTTTCTGTCTATATGACAGGTGGAGGCATCAAGCACAAAGATTCTACTGAATAAAATGAAAGCCATTTCCTCTTGCCTAACTGATACTGTTTGACTGTGTCCCTACCCAAATCTCATCTTGAATTATAGCTCCCATAATTCTCATGTGTCACGGGAGGGACCCAGTGGGAGGTAATTGAATCATGGGGGTGGGTCTTTTCCGTGCTGTTCTTGTGATAATGAATAAGTCTCAGGAGATGGTTTGGTAAAGGGGAGTTCCCCTACATAAGCTCTCTCTTGCCTGCTGCCATGTAAGATGTGACTTTGCCCCTCCCTTGCCTTCCACTGTGATTGTGAGGCCTCCCCAGCCATGTGGAACTGTGAGTCAATTAAACCTCTTTCTTTTATAAATTACCCAGTCTTGGTTATGTCTTTATTTGCAGAGTAAGAACAGACTAATACGATAACCTAGCCTTGTAGGATGCAGAACCACTTCTGATGTGCTCTTCTGGTTGAAGTCGTTAGAAAAGCCCACCCAATAGCTGAGCCATTTGGGGAAAATACAATCTGACAAATCAGGTATCAAGGATATCTACTAATTTCTGCTGAACTAGGTGCTGTAGTATGAAATTCAGATAGAGGACCAGAGTCATTAGAATGATGAGACAATAATGGTTTAGATGATGACAGTCTGTAGGAAAGTTGGCCTTGCCCTGAGGTAATATGGCAAAAGTATACTGCTATACCTTTCAGGTGAAAGTATATTGTTTCTAGTACCCGATTTATTAGCATAATTTTATATTTTCTTCCAGAAACATAACTGGTGCATAGTAGGACAGAGCAGATGTTTTTGGCTTTAGAAAAGAGATTGCACCTGGAACAAGAGACATAATTTAAATCACCACCTGATTGGTTTACAATAGTCTCCTATTATTCTCCTAGAACCCTTCATCTCCTGCATGTAGGAATAAATGTCTTATTTGGGATTAAAATAGATATTCCTGAAGCATTTATGTTTTTGGATGTTGGCTACAATTTATCTTGGGGTTCAGTATTGCTTAAATTTAACTTTTCTAGTTAGAAGTGCAATTCCAAACTCTTATGTTTGGCTCTTCCTACCATAATAGTCTTCACTCCTTTAGTCAGAAGAGTTATTGTAGGAAATCTGCCAGCAGCCAAGTTTGTCTGTTATAGCCAGGCTTTCAGAAACCAAAGACATAATCATTTTCATTGTGTTTGTATTCCACCTTTGACAGGCATGTATCTCACCAGGTGTTTGGATTGCTTGTTGTGTAACAAATCACTCTACACTGTAGTGGCTTAAAAGAACAATAATCATTTTATTAGCTCTCATACTTTCTGCAAGTCAAGTGGAAAGGGCTTGGCTGGACACTTCTGGGTAGGTTTGCAGACACTGGGACCCACTGTCAGACAGATGTGGGCCCCAACTCCACTTAACCCTTGATCTCTAAAAGTCCCCACAGACATGTTTTATGTCCTCAGAGATTTACATGTGTCAAGGCCAGTGGTCAATAATCCCTACAATTACTTGGCATTTTCTTTCCTCAGTTGTTCTAATAAATGGCTGCAGATGTCTTTGAGAAAGCAAAGAAGGAAACTTGTACAATGTACATGTACTTGTTTCAATGACTTAGTGTTGTTCTACAAGGATTTATGAACTGGTTCATGTCTCGGAATTGAAAGAATGACAATGACTCTCAATCAAGGGACTCAACCCATAGCTTCTTTTCTAGATCTAGATGTGCTTGTTTGTTTGGGGTTGTATAGATTAAGCAAGACTTTACAAGTCTATCCATTTACTAGAGTCCTAGGGAATCCCATGCTCAATTAAGCACCAACAAAGATTCCTATGGGTCAGACTTGTAATTATAACTCTAGCCTACTATTTATTTCAGCAACAGATCGCTTTTTTCTGGTGATTAATTACTGACACTGGAGAGTTCATCATATCCTAAACTGGGGAGCTTGTTTCAAAGCCAGAATTTTTCAAAGCCTTCATCATAGGCCTACCAAAGATAACAACATTTGCTCCCAAGCACTTAAAAAAATATGCGTACTTACATAGCCAATATATTTTCCAGTCTTTGGTTAAGGGAGTATCCTTGGGCCCTATTCTGATTACATGGTAAAAGTGAAGATAAATGAGTCATACAACAAAAAATAAATTAAAAAGTCTTATCTCCTTATGTCTTTGGATTCCTCCTCTCTCTATATATGAGCATATATTTGAGTATCAAGGAGCTTTACTAGGAGAAAAATACCTAGTTAGTACCTTAATAATCTAAGAAATTTTTAACATTTTAACACCTTTTGGTGTAGACATCACTGAAACCAGAAGAAAACATAAAAAGGTAGAGTTTTGGCCTGTGTCTGTCCCACAGTGGGCTCAGTGTCAACAAACCTATTTCATTATTATAGTTTCTTATCAAGTGTATTTTATTGTACTGCAAAACTTGGTTAACTGAGAATTATATTTCCCAATTTCCTTGAGGCTAAGGTTTTGTATGTTAATTAAATAAATTTGTGCTGACTCAAACTACCTATGTAAGATTTGAAGGAAAGGAGAATAAATGCCGACCATCAGCTACAACCATTGTAATAACCATTAAAACCAAGCAACAAAATAAAACGAGCTGAGACAAGAGCTTTGGAATAACTTATTTTGAAGTACAAAACTAAAATTTCCAAATTTTTTAAGTCACACAGAAAAAAAGTATGAGCTTTTCTACAGTGTTAATAGGAAAAGTGAAATATCCTTTGTAAGTTATCTTTCTCTATGTTTTATAACATTCTTCTTAGTGTCGTACAAATAATTTGTAAAATAAATGTGAAGAAAAAGGATATTTGTTTTAAAAAAATTATTGATGAAATGTCTAATCAAAATCAAATGTAAAGACTACTGATCTAGGAGACAGAGAAATAGGCCAATAATAATTATGTGCGGGGCATTATAGTTTAAGCAGCAATAGAAATTTAGATATATATGTCTATATATATGTTAAGTAGAAAACACACAGGTACACACACATATATATACATACACATACATATTTCTGTAATCAGTCATTATCAGACTATTCAATGCCAATGGCCCAATCTTGAAGCCTTTATCAGTAATGAACATATTTCTAAAGTCATTTATTTCCATTCACCAGGTCAATGATTTTTGGCTGCCACTACTATGACAAGGATATTAAGTTATGAAAACATTTATCAATGTTCTCCTTCAAAAGAAATTTGAATGATGCAGGTAATAGACATGATGAATTGTCGGCCAAAAGGGCCAGGTGAAACTCATCAGAAACAGTTCAAATTCTGCATTAAGTTTCAGCCAGATTTCCAAATATGTAAGACCTTCTCGTTAACCAAGCAGCTTAATCTCAAAGGCTAATGCTTCTTACTCTCAACTACATCATATGATCTTGTGATAGATATAACAACAGCAGTCCTGAAGATGATTTCTGTAAAAATAATTCTGGAAAGGACTTTAAAATTCAGGACTTTAATATTAAATTAATTTCATCAATGAATATTAGACAAGGCCAGATAGCTTTTCTAAGAAATATAAATTACCTAATAGTAATGCATTGAGATAGTGCATATTATGCAAAACTGTAATACCATGTATGGTACTTTCCAATAGCCTTCTTATTTTCTTGAAAATGAGATTGAAATTGCTGAACAGAAAGAACAGATCTATTTTTCCCTCAGCTATATTTTTAAGAGTCAAAATTTAATAGAGATACTTTACCCTAAATCCTCTATTACTCAAAACAATTTTACATTATTTCCTAGGCATTTTAATCACACTCTAAGAGCAGAGATGATGAATCTTAGACCATAAAATCATTAGCCAAAATGACCTCCCGTAGAGATGCTCAAATCATAATAGAAAAGGGATATTGAGTGAATAGAAATTATCTAAAAGATTTTCACAGATGCCTCTATTTTCCTCAACATTCTTTAAAATGCAATAAAAAAACAGAAATAAAAGGAAGAGCTGCCTCTGTTATCTAAAATATGTCATATACAGTAGAAATTTAGACTAGTGAAAGCCTACATAAGTGGTAAAGGTGTCTCCTTAGAGATACTTCACCATATGGAAACATAAGGAAACAAGATGCTCAAGACATTCACTGTTCAGAAGCCAATAACCACTTCCATGCATCTGAACATTGCTTACTCTGATATACACTACTTTGAGCTGATGTGAAAATTTGCAAACCGTATATTTCAGTCAAGTCTGCCAGCCTCTAGCATAGTGGTATTTTTATTACTCCAATAAAAATTGTTGCTTTTACTCTACAATATGAATTATATAAGTAGCATATATTTGAGTATCAAGGAGTTATACTAGTAGAAAAGTACCGAGATAGTACCTTCATTTTAGTACTATAATTCTTAATAAATATTGAATTGCGCTACTTGTCAGTGATAATATGTTTCTAACCATAGAAGGTGAGGGACTCTATTTCTCCTATATTTTCCATGAATGATAATGATATCAGAGCAACAACAACCCGACACTCTTCATTCAGTTTTTACTATATGGTATTAGATTTTTAAAGTTGTTTTGTGCATTATCTCATTAATTTTCAGAACAACCCTAGGAGGTTGGTATTATTTCAAAGCTCTATTACAGATAAGGAAATGAAGGCCAAAGAAACGTTAAGCAAATTGCTCAAAGTTAAATGGCTGTGTCAGATCTGCACTTTGAGCTATGCGATCCCAAAGCCCATGCTCTTAACCACTAGGTTATTATATAGCTCTTCCTTGAAATAAAATGTTATGTCTGATACCAAGGCAAGAAAAGCTTTTTATAGAGCCTGTTGTTCACCTATGACTCATTTTCTCTGCCATATAGTTTTAATAAGGACATGAAAGGTCCTGGGGTGAGTGCTTTCCAGACCTCTCAGGCTGTTCTTGATGGGCGCTTGCAGAGATCATGACTCATTCTTCCTCTGTCATCCTGCAAGTAGGCTGTGTGTGACACAGCAACCAAGAATCCAGACTCTTTCTCCACGGCTCATGCAAGTCCGCGACTGAAGAAATTCAGGGATGGTTTGGACAGTGGGATTGAGGAAAATAAATAAAATCTATAGAGCACTTTTTCTGTTAGGTAAAAGTAGACAGAATCATGGTATATAATGAATTATT